TTAAATACCATGACACAAAGTCTGTACGTATTATGTCACATGGTAAAGAAATGAGAGATAAAAAGATTATGTATACATATATATGCATATATATATGTATTTATAACAAAATAAGGAATAAATACTCAATAATTACGGTTGTCATTTCTGTACATAGTCATGGAGTTGCTGCTGGCATTTTTCTCTAGCTCTTTCACTACCTCTATATTCCCTTTATTCTCAACAAGTACCTTAGCTGGTCATGGTTCTTTACCTGCTAAAGTCACTTAAATTTTCTTTTCTGAATGGTCTGTGTTATTAGTACTACATTTAGTTGTTATAGTTTTTCATTAATGTTAATCACAGGGCATGCTAGTATTAAGAGACATCCTGGTAGATTTCCTTTATTCCACATCCACTCTTCCTTACCACCACTGTGGAGTAGAATTCTAATTCTCACTTGGTAGTCAGGATCAATCACCCCGCCCAGCATAGTAAGTCTTCTTTGCCTAATGATTTAGAGACATGAGGAACCTAAAGTGGCTAGGTAGAAGTCTTAGATTCTAGTTTAAGGTGATCAAAGTTGTATCTCCTGGTGGAAGCAGTTCTCCTTCTGGAACTAAAAGCTCAAGGTGAGCAGTGCATAAAGTTGCAGGAACAGAAAATAAAAATTTCGCTAGTGAGTCACTGGAAGTAATAGTGAGTGGTGCTACTCTCATTTCCCACCCCCACACTGCTTTATCCCTGGTTCTATGAATTCTGTCTATGGTATAAATAGGACCATATATTGGGTACTGACTCAAAGCATATTTTCTTGTAAACCTTGCCCCTGCCTTGCAAGGTGTTGCCACCTAGCTGATTGTGTAACTGAGTCTTCAAAGGCCATTTCACCATTCTGTCTATCCACCTGCTATAGGATGATGGATATCATGGGAAGGCCAGTGAATTTCTTAATCATGCTATTCTCTCACTTCTTCTGTGAAGTGAGTTCTTTGATAAAAAGTAATGCTCTGGGGCATACCATGATGGCGAATAAGACATTTTATAAATCCATGGATGGGAGTTTTGGCAGAAGTACTCCATGCAAGAAAGGCAAACCTGGATCCAGAGTGTCTATTCCAGTAAGTTGAGAACACATTACCATCCATAATGGAAGCAGTGCAGTGATGGCGGTAGCCAGGTCAACCGTGATGAGTGGAAGTCCATGTTGCTGAGCCAATTCATACATAACCTTCATCACTGCAACCATGGCCACTATGTTCCCGAATCCACTGATGACAGGGTGACTGGGAAACAAAGCCAACTGGTATCCAAAGAACAGGTCATTTTATCCTCGTGATTTTTAAAATCTTCCTCTGCTAAGATCACACTATGGTGAGCATTTACATTGGACACAATATCTTCATATTTTTTTGTCCATTCAGAGAGGTCTAACTGTACATTTCTTTCCCAAATTCATCTGTCGTCAGTTTTCCAATAATGTTCCTTCCAGGTGTCTAGACATTCAACTAAACCATTGGCTACATGCCATGAATTGATAGATACTCAAACGTCTAACCATCTCTCCTTCCAAGGAAAGCACAAAACTAGGTACCAAGCCTAAATTTCTGGCTAGAAGGAGGCTTGCCTTTACCACTGCTCTTTAGGGATATCCCAGAGAGGAGCTGTACTATTGTAGCTGTCCACTTTTAGGTGTTGCCTGCACAATGTGCAGAAAAGTCTGTAAACCAGGCCTGACTCTTCTCTACCTCTATCCACTGATCATAAAAAACTCTCTATGAAGCCATAGAAATAGGCTGTGAGAGAAAAGGCAGTGTAGAAGGAGTGAGAAATTTGGACCACTTCTTCATTTAGCTTGTATCTTCAGAACCTGCTTGGATCCTATTTGATACATGCATATATATATATATATATATGAAGATTATATATATATATGTAATCTTCTACTCAATGATGGAGTATGGCTATGCATATCCAGCTCTATGACTTGTTGGACTAGATAACAACCAATTCATGATAGGCAGCTTAGGTTTTATTGTAACTTGGTGGCCAATGGCCCATGGTTAAGTGTTCAGTCTCTATTAAGGCCTAGTAACCAGGCCAAAAGCTGTCTCTCTAAAGGAGAGTGGTTATCTGCAGAAGATGGTAGCGTCCTGCTTCAAAACACGAAAGGCATATGTTGTCATTCATCCATATGGACCTGCCAAAGGCTCTCAAGAGCATCCCTGTCTGATACTCACACTTCAAGCACTATTAGATCTGCTGGATCATATGATCCAAGTGGCAGAACAGCTTGTAGGGCAGAATGGATCCACTGCAGGGCCTTCTCTTATTTTAGGCCCCACTCATAACTAGTAGACTTTTGGTTCACTTAATAAATAGGCTGGAGTAACACATTCCATTGATATATTCCACTCATTAACATATTCCATGAGGAATATGTTGCCTCTGAAATACAAAGAGACCCACTAGTGTTATACCTTTTTCTTGGCAGCTGGAAGAACTAGGGACCAGAAGCAACAATTTACCCTTCACCGTAGAACATGCCCCGTGTTCTTTTGTTAACTTAATCTAGAACATTTCTGCTTATACAGATAAAGTAAGAATTTAGTAAGCTTCTTATTCACTTCACTTTTAGGAACACCATGATCAATTAGCCAATGTCAAAAGCTGTTGAATATATTGTTCTTTAGAGAAGAGCTCTGTAATCACTGTTCTCTAAAGAGCAGAACTCCCAATGGAATCTACAATCACTAAATTAGTTGTTCTCTAACAATATATTCATTTCTTACATTTAGCTAATAAGAAACCCACAAAGATACACTATGAGGAATAACTAATAATACATCTAAAAGAATTTAAGGCCATCATTTCCCTGAAATTTTATATAATTTTTACATGAAAGTTATCTTGTATTCCTTTATTATAAGGCATGTTGTGTAAATCAAGAAAATTTTCATGTGATTGAAGTATTCAAGAATATTTTAACTCCATTGAGAATCACTTTTTTTTATTATTAGCTCATATCTGATGTACTGATTTCAAGTAAACCACATGTTTTGGTGATTGTGTTCAGTAGACAGTTGATAGAAAAAGTTGGACTGAAGGTACAGATAAAATATAAAAGAGTGAATAGCACAGAAATGAAAAAGCTTGCCCAAAAAAATTGTGACTTGCAAAGAAAAGACAGAAAACCAAAGATAAAAAATTCTGGTGAAAATTACAAAAAAGGGATGGACAGAGAAAAGAGCATAAAATGTCTGGGACATAAAGAACTACCTGAGATGGGGTAATTTATGAAGAAAAGAGGTTTAGACTCAATAGCTCTGCAAGATATATAGAAAGCATGGCTGGACGGTCTCAGGAAACTTATAATCATGGAGGAAGGTAAAGGGGAAGCCAGCATGCCTTCACAGGTCAGAGCAGGATAGAGAGAGAGAGAAGAAGGAGGTGCTACACACTTTCAAACAAGCAGATCTCATGAGAACTTGCTACTATGAGAACAGCAAGGGAGAAATCTGCCCCCATAATCCAATCACCTCCCACCAGGCCCCTTCTTCAACAATGAAGATCATAATTCAACATGAGATTTGGATGGGGACACAGAGATAAACCGTATCTATTAATTTCTCTTTTGTCTGAATTTCTCTCAATTAAACCTTAAAATTATTATCATCATTAAGCCTAATTTATCCATTTATGGAGATTTCCAAATTTGTATGAAAATATGCTCTAGATCTTGGATAAGAGAGATAAATTCAACCAAGCATTGAACATCAGCTTTTGAAAAATGCTGGTATTTAACTTTCTCATCTCCAATCAATGCTGAAAAAGAATGTGTGACTATTATTCACCAGCCAGTTATGTATCACCCTAATAGGTTTATGATATCCAAACCAGATTTTCCTCATTAATTATATGATTTATATGACATATAATGTTGTATGACAAAATGAAATATCTTGCTAAAATGAAGATAGTGTAAATATTATTTCCTTTCCTCAATCTTCTAAGCCAGCCCACCTTCAACATAATCAGATTAGACTGACAGAGGTGTTCTTTAGCAAGGTACTGTGGCATGTACCTAGCATGTTGCTTTCTTTTGAAATTGTCAGATTCTGTTTAAAATTTTCTGGACTCCATATCCTCTTTTCAAGTTAACATAAGCAAAATATACATTTTAACTAAGTAAATGGAAGATATTAAGTGTGTTGATATGGTTAACTGATGGGTTACTTAAAGAACCAACATGAATTATTCTTAAAATAAACCCTTCAAACTCCCAGCTTTTCTTCTTTCTCTTTATTTCCCCCTTTCTGGCCAAATAAATTCAGAGTCACATTCAATATTTGACAACTTGGAAAAAGCTGAAAAAAATTTCAGCTGAGTCTGGTGAAAACTTTGATGACAGTTTATTGCAATAAACATATGACCACTGTAATAATGGAATTTGATAAAATGACATAACTTCTATATTAACATTGCACATCTGCTAACTAAAAACATCATTTGATTATCTGCTTTTTTACGTGTTTGCCAAATGACCAACTTTCTGTTTGGCATTTCAATCTTAAATTAGGTTGAGGCATCTAAATTGAAAATTTTCCAGGCCCCTTGCCTTTACTTTGGAAATCTTTTTAAGATTCTTATTTATATTACATAGCTGTGGATCAGGTACAGTGATAGCTGTAGCCAGTCTTGGTTCATAATGGTGTAAAAATAAAAACAATCTTTAAGCAAGTATTTCAATGAGGGAAACTTAAGATTATGCAAATGACCTATTTTTTTTTTTTTTATGTTTTGTTGTATTTACTTCCAAAAGAAAGGTGCTGGCTGAGGCTGGGGCAAGGTGACTATTTCTTCAATCCTGTTGATATGACTAAGTGTGCAGAGTCTGTAAGTGATGTCCTGAAAGAGTATAAGATCAACAACCAAGAAAGTATTCAATCAAAGGGGCTAGAACATTTTTTTCCAGTTTTTCTGTTACTATGTGCTTAAGGGGTCATATGGTTTAGCTGTGACCCCACCCAAATCTCATCTTGATTTGTAGCTCCCATAATTCTCACATGTCATGGTAGGGGCCCAGTGAGAGGTAATGGAATCATGAGGGTGAATCTTTGTGGTTCCTGTAGTAGTAAGTCTCAAGAGATGTGATTTTTTTTTTTTTTTTGAGATGGAGTTTCGCTCTTGTTGCCCAGGCTGGAGTGCAGTGGCAGGATCTTGGCTCACTGCAAACTCCTCCTCCTGGGTTCAAATGATTCCCTTGTCTCAGCCCCCTGAGTAGTTCAGCCTCCTGAGTAGTTTCGCCTCCTGAGTAGGTGGGATTACAGGCACCTGCTACTACACCCTACTAATTTTTGGTATTTTTAGTAGAGATGGGGTTTCACTGTGTTGGCCAGGCTGGTCTTGAACTCCCAACTTCAGGTGATCCACCTGCCTTGGCCTCCCAAAGTACTGGGATTACAGGTGTGAGCCACCATGCCTGGCCAATATGATGATTTTATAAATGAGAATTTCCCTGCGCAAGTCCTCTGTTGCCTTCTGCTATGATTTTGAGGGCTCCCTAGCCATGTGAAACTGTGAATCTATTAAAGCTCTTTTTCTTTATAAATTACTCAGTCTCAGGTATGTCTTTATTGGCAGCATGAAAACAGACTAATGCAAGGAGATAACACTTATTATTGTCAGGGCAAGTGTCTTTCTAAGAAAATAATCCCACGTAAATAGATGGGATGTGTATTAGTCCATTCTCACACTGTTATACAGAAACATCTGAGACTGGGTAATTTATTTAAAAAAAGAAAAGTGGTTTAATCAGCACACAGTACAGCAGGCTGTACAGGAAGCATTGCGGCTTTGGGGGAGGACACCTCAGGAAACTTTCAATCATGGTGGAAGGTGAAGGGGAAGCAGGTACGTCTTAAATGGCTGTAGCAGGAGGAAGAGAGAGTGGGAATGTATCACACACTTTTAAACAATCAGATCTTGTGAGAACTCTATCAGGAGAGCAACCCCTAAGTGGGAAATCCACCCCCATGATCCAGTCACTTCCCACCAGGCCCCACCTCCCACATTGGAGATTACAATTTGGCTTGAGATTTGTGTAGGGACACAGATACAAACCATATTAAGATATAAGAGAAAGAACAATGAACCACATTTCTTGGAGTATTGATGAAAAAAATCCTCCAGCTGAATCTAACATGATCCCCTAAATTTATGTTATCCGCTATATGTACTCCTCATGCCTACTCTTAATAGATGAACCACGATGCAAAGCAAAACTAAGAAAACCACAGGAAAGAACACTTTAGGAGTATCTAAGACCAAAGTGTAGGGAGGGAAGCATGGAGAACCCCAATGCTTCGGTGTTTGGGGAGCCTCCAACTAACCTGGGGATCCAATAACAGTATTCCTAGCAACTCTACCAATGAGAACTGAAAGGGAGCTGGATATAGGCGTTACTGGATACCTTTCACAGGATGCTTCTCTTACCTGGGGGATAGCCTGATGCCTAACTATTGGACCCATGGGGTTCCCTCATGTGGGAAACATGTTTATACTGGCAGATGCCCTTGCAACTTTTGCATGACCCACGTGTGGTTCATCTCTGGCTGACTATGTGCTGGGGCTGGGAACCTGATCTTACAGCTCTCCTCCAGCCCTCCATTCAAGCCCCAGGATCCCGGGGAAACTCAGCCTGGAGTAGCCCCTGATTCTTCAGATGTTGCAAATACAATAATTCACAATAGAAAACAAGTTCAAAGATTTTTCCTTATACATCCTGAGCAGAGACCTCACAATGAGACAGGTGAGCAGTCCTCTGTGTCCAGGTCCGGTAAGGCAGTAATGAAGAGAGACGCAGCTGGGGGGAGAGAGAGAGAGAGAGAGAGAGAGAGAGAGAGAGAGAGAAAGTTGGCAACTATAAGTATATACATATATATTAACGGGATTTGAGGTTTGAGCCACTTAAAGTTCACAGGCAAGGGAGCCCAAGCTGTTAGGTAGAGAGATGCTTCTGAGTTCTCATTTCTGGCCAATGGCTTGAGCCACTTGGGTGTGGTATAGAACTGAAAACGTTATCAATGGCGACTGAGCCCTGCTTCTAATATGAGAAAGTTAAATTTATGTTTGAAATTGATACCAAATCAACGTAAAATAATTCACTTCATTGGGATAATTTTTTATGACGTTCTCATAAAAAGAGCTGAAAATGAGGCAGGTGCAGTGGCTCATACCTGTAATCCTAGCACTTTGGGAGGCCAAGGTGGGCAGATCATGATGTCAGGGGTGGTGGTGCATGCCTGTAGACCCAGCTACTTGAGAGGATGAGGCAGAATGTCACTGCACTCCAGCAGCCTGGGCAACAGAACAAGACTGTCTCAAAAAAAAAAAAAAAAAAAAAAAGAAAGA